TGTTTCCACATTTTTAAATTTTGATTCCAATTCTATAAGTCGAAAGTAGTGAAGCAACCGTTGAACTTCGTTTGTTCGGAATATAAACGCGTTCCTCTCAAAAAATAAAATAATTCGAAACTGTATTGTTTATTTTTCTAATAAAGACATACACTAGTCGACATAATTATAAGACACCCCTAAAAATATTGGTTTAGGTACTTAATAATGTAGTTATATTAAAATACACTTCGTCAAAAGAAAATGGTTTATTTTTTAATAACAACTTCATAAATTTTGCGAAAAATGATAAAACATTTCTAATTTATTCGAAAAATAATACAATTTCGATTGAACATAATTATAAGACACTGCTTAAAAGAAAAAGAGAATGTACAAAAGTTCTGAAAATTTATACACATTTTGAAGTACTAATAATGTGTAGAGCCTCCTTTATTTTGAACAACTTCGATCATTCGTTTCGGTAGACTTTTAAATAAATGTTTTATATTCTTTTGATCTAAGTCTTCCCAACCTTTCAGATTTGCTACCTTCAAATCATTAAGACTATTCTATTGTTTGCCACCTTCGTATAGTCTTCTACTCAACTGACCCCACACATTTTCTATAATATTGAGATCCGGAGACCGTGCTGGCCAATTTAAAATTGGTGAATTTTGAGCATGAAAATAATTTTTTACAACTTTAGCTGTATGAACAGCTGTATTGTCCTGCTGGAATATGAAATGTTCACCAGCCACTCTTTCAGCATGATTCTGAATCTGCTCTTGTACTAGTTTTGAATAACCAGTAGCTTTCATTCTGCCATCAATGGACTTGATTTCGGTCTTCCCATTATACCCGATGGCTGCCCATAACATCACAGATCCTCCACCACATTGACGGCGACTTAAAATTCTTGCTTCTTTTCGTAAATCGTGAAAATAGTATTTCCAACCATCAGGTCCATCTAAATTCATTTTCTTTTCATCAGTAAAAAGCACTTTCCGCCATTTTTTCTTTCACAGTAGGCGATTAAGAGCAAAATCCAGTCGACGTTGTTTGTGTACTATCGACAAAGGTGATTTAACAGCAAACTTTTTTCGTTTCAGATGATGTGTCTTTTGTATAACTCTTTTTACAGTCTTTACAGATACTTTTAACCCACATCTACTAAAATTTGCCTAGGTGTAAGAGCTGAATTTGATGCACACCTTAAAACTGCTCTTTTATCTCTTAAAGTAAGAGATGATTGTCTTCCAGATCTCTTCTTTTTTCCGTAATTTCTTAGATTATTTAAAAAATTACGAATTACACACATACTTCTTTTCATTTTTGGTGACATTTGTTTTAAATTCTCTCCTTTTGCTCTTCTTTGAAAGATTTCTATTTTTTCCTCTTCAGTTAGAACTTTATGTTTTTCTATTTTATACTAAGAAAATCACTATAATAGAGAATTCACAGTACGAAAAACACGAATACATTTAGATTCAACGACTGTCTGTAGTCGAGTAACATTAATGTCTTATAATTTTGTCCTACAGAAGAAACCAAACATTACAATTGTTGGAAATGCTTCGACGCTTTGTGTTTGTTTACATTGTGATGGAGTTCGCGAATAATACTCCTTCATCCCATCATCATTTACGCTACGTATACAAGCTTATACATACTTTTTTTTTTAAATAAATGGGGTGTCGTATAATTATGTCCATCAGTGTATTCTGAACATAATATCAGTAAACAGGTTTGACAAGATTCTCCAATATCCTTATCCAAATCTCTATTCCTCTCTAACTCCTCCCGCGTCCATCCCCTGCTCTCAAAGAACTTTTCCCTCTCAAAATGAGCGCTTTACAAAGCGTAAAAAAACTCTTTGTCTTAAGAACCGATTGACGTATCAATGTACCAGTAGTCTCATTCGATTCAGGATTAAAAATCACATATTTAATATAATTGCAGCTAAAGTTGTTGTATTTAATATACTAGAAACGTATTGTTGAATGTACCGCAGAAAATTGTCGATAGTTTTACAATTGACAAGAAATATCTTTTGAGTCCCAAGTTGTCCCACGTACGCGCTAATTTTAGTTATCGGTGGCTATTTTTCAACCCTCTAGAAAAAGCAGATAAAAAAACTTGTGACGAGGGAAGAAACAGTAAGCAAGGGACACCAACAAGGATGCAGCTACATATAACAGGGAAATTCGATGTCGTGTCCTAATTGGCGTTTATAGTACACGAGGGTGCCATGCTTCAACTCTTGTTATATCGCTTCCATAATGAGCCACGAGAAATTGGAGAATCATTAGCCACCAAATGGAAATTTTTTTTTCAGTCAAACCAATTGATTTCCTCTAACAAGGAGAGGCCACAAACTAGGGGTCACCGATTTGAATTAGCTTTTAACACAGTATAGTACTCTACTTAGGAGAGTATTTGAGCAAAGGGGCAAAGCTCGCTACTTCAGCGTTTTTGAGAAAAATTAATTTAAAAAATATGACGCCACTTAGCTTCTTATCTTCAGTTCCTTTAGAATAGTTCACAAGATGACAGCGTAGTTAAGTCCCCTTCAGGCTTGAGTTCGATTCTCGTCTAGTATGAATTTTTTTCTAATTTTTTTTTTAATTTAACGTTACCTTAAATATTTATTCCTGTAAAATTATATTAAATTGACCGACAATTTTGTTTCTTGTTTAAAAATTTTGCAATATTTTTCAGGAAACTTGTTTCTTACTTGCACACATAACGTAAGCAGTTGAAAGATTTCAAAACCAAACTAAGTTCCGAATAGCAAAATTTAATCTCGACCGTGTAATCAATGCGGATCAAATAGATTGTCGATACCAGATGACATATATGTATAATAAATCGTTGGAGTCCCAGGGAGTTAAAAGCGTTTTCGTAAGAAGGAAAGAGCTTAAACAAATTAACGCCTTCATACACCGCACAATACAGTGTAACTGCTTCAGGAAAACTGCTTCCCTTACAAGGGAACATATCCAATTGTCACAGGTCGATTTTGATAAAATTTACGTGGTAGGTATTAGGTTGTCCCAAAAGTTTCTTTCGTAATTTCCACTCAATTATTTTGTGTGGGAGTGCTTATATAAATAGACAATCTAATTTCTTAGATATTGATGTTGTAATAGTAATGGAGCAAAATGAATCGTACACAATTCAATAATGTAACATTAGACATAAAATATTGTGTATGTATTACTTATTAATAAAACGAAAGAAACTTTTGGGACAACCTAATAGTTCTCAAAAAAATATTTGACACGTATTTTTTTTATCGGCAATCGTCCATATTGAAGAGGTGAAAATAGCCCCTAAAGATGGGGGTGAATACCATGTTTTTTTAAATATCTTGAAAACTAGACAAGCTAGGACAATAATTTTTTTTCAAAAATATGCGTTTTTGAATGGGTAATTTACTCATGCCAAAAGAAATTATTTATTTAATTATTTAAATAATTTATTTTTGAAAAAATATCTTCTGTTAATTTATGTTACTAAATATTGTTTCTCATTCATGAAAATTTATATGCGTAAACTACAGGTTAAAATTCAGGATGCATGTTTTTGGACATATTGATTTTCACCATATAACAATAATTATATTAACCCTTTATCTACCGGGCTATTTAGAAACAGTCTTTAATGCAAAAAAGAATTTTCTACAGTAGCATATGCCAATTTAGGCTGCCATTAATTCCTTCATACTATTACTAGGTAAATTGAAAGCCAAGTCTGTTTCCAAAAACTGAACATCGTAAGTAGACAATCAGTAAATAAATTCGAAAAGCTAAATACTGGAATTAAAAAGCCTATAAATAGGCTCCCGGTAAATAAAGTGTTAAATGGGGAATTCCTTCTTCCGTGCCAAAAATGTGGCTTCTTTATCATTTTTTTTTTTACATAAAGTATGCATGATTTCAATTTGAAACTTTATACACGTCTCTAGTATTATTTTAGAAAGATGTACAAATTTTTATGGAAAGATTTATCGACAAATATAAATGTTACAGCCCGTTGTCCATGACGCCGTAATGAAAAGATTGACCGTTAGTTGACTTGATTTCCATCGTTTAATATTGTTAACAACGAGAGATGGTATCGAACAATCAAATAAAATGTCGTTAACGTGTCTTTTTTTTACTCAGAATCCTTCATTAGTTCAATTTCCATCAATTAGTTAATAATTTATTGGTATCTCCATTGATGATAAATAGTAGTATAGTAGTACATAGAACAATAGTAACTCTCAAGGATCATTCTTGTCACGATTTTTTTAGTTATTAAGCAATCATCAAGGATTTCAGTGAGAATTTTCGCTTCGCTCGATTGTTTGTTACATTCTATAAATGAATTATTAACTTTTACGACTCGTATAGAGGATAGTATAGATCGTTGCAACATTCAAGAAAAATTTCTATTACGATCTCGATTTTTATTAAATGTTCAACAAAGATTTCAGTCTTGACTACACGTTACTTCGTTAGAAATATTCGCTTTACTTTATGGTTTGCCAACTTTTTGCATATAAATAATGGACCTTGGTACTCGTAAAAGACAGTATAGATTATTAGCAACATTCAAGAACCGTCGTTGATACGATTTCGATTGAAATTAAACAGTTATAAACGTTTTTCAGCGATTAGTATGTGCAAAATTTAAATTTCGCGCTGGTGGCGCCATCTAGCAGTTGAATCAGGGAACCAACCAAGGTCCATTATTTATATGCAGAAAGTTAACAAACCATAGAGTAAAGCGAATATTAATATTTAAGTATTGGAATAGTAGTTGAATTATGTTGACAGAATATTTGAATCACTGAAGTGAGATTGATTGTGAGATATTTCCTTTTGCTACTTTTTTCTTCTTTTATACAGGCATTAAAATTCACCGATTTTCATCGCCAACTTCAGAATTTTTATTAACCTTTATGTACAATTTCATCTACGTTCTCCACAAGAAACTTTCACGATATACATATTTTGAAACGACAAAAAAGAATGTTTATGGAAATAGAAGACGAAACACGCGATTTTGTAACAATTTACAGAAAAGACTTTTTAGGGAGAGAAACGAAAAAACGAAGAGAATACAGGCCACAACGCAAGTATCCCCTACCCCTCAATATCTTAAACGGACCCTATAGAAAATGTCTAAACACTCGTCAACAAAATTTTTCGTTACCTGTAAATGAACAAAGCGAGGACCCTCAAGAATATTTAAATAAGGTAAAGAAGATATAACGATCGTTTATTGTGTTAATTATCATACACTGCATTCGATCGAGTAATTAAATTATTGAAAATATTGCCCATTTCTGCTGTAAACTATCAAGTAAAAATATTCAACCAGCATACACTGAATCTTGTTCAAATTTATATTGGAGGTAGTTTTCATCAAAATAATTGATACGTATTATTTTTATTAACAATCGTCCATATCGAATAAGAACAGCACCTAAAATGGGGTATGAAAAATGTTTTTTTTTAAATAACTTGGAAATAGAGGAGCTAGGACAAAATTTTTTAAATTAAACGTCTTCGATTGAGTAGTTCACTCGTGCAAGAAATAATGTATTCTTTAAAGAATATATTCTTTTTTAAATTGTTAAAAAATCTTCGAAATAATTATAATTTCTCACTATATATATTAAGGAAAGTAACAGGTAAATCGTTGATCAACTGAAGATTAATATTGGCCAAAACCAAAATATCACATTATCGTTGCTACGTACGAACAACAACCAACCACACGTTCACTAAATATTAATTTGGAATTTAACAAAATATTTCTGGTCAAACAACTATATTTTTTAATAAAAAACAATAATAATTCTAATAATTTATTTTAATAATATAATTTAAATAATCTATGAAAATATTCAGATTAGAAACGAGCATCCACTGTTAAAAAAAATCTTTCCGGAAGTTGCGCCGAACGAAAATGTGATCGAAGAGAAGGAAAATCGGATCACGCAAACTATATATCATACGGATTATTCAAAAGGTTTTTAATGTGTTTTGTACATACATCACTGATTCAATTTACATGTAATGATTGAAAAATTTATGAAAATTAGGCGATTATTCGTCACGCATAAAAATATATGGGAAGTGGAAAGACATCCATTTACCAGACGATTGGATCATATCGGAAACGATTCAAAGAAAATCTTATAGGAATCCATGGAAAATTGCTACCGAAAATTTGTTGCTTATTTCCCGAAGTGAAAAACCACCGGATAATCTAAAACCGAGTCAAAAAGAAAGAGAAATCCTCCGTATAAGGTAAGTAACTAAAGTACACAGGTTAAACTTGTTTTCAATATTTCATTATTGCATATTTCTTACGTTATAAAAACATTTTTACCATACCTTTCACAACATGTAGAGTATTTATACACAAATAAATGTATTTAAAATTTACAATGGGTGTAGAAAGTATTCGTACACCGATCAATTTCCAAAAAACTGTGTAAAATTGTAATTTATTAACTTATTTTTTATAAACAATGACATTCTACATGTTCTAGGAAATCTCTAGAATAGATAGATTACAAAAAAAAAATAGCTATTTATGTAAGTTACGAAATTAACAAGAAAAAAGCAATTAATCGATAGAAATGTTGAAGCAATAAGTATTCGCACAACTGTTTAAAAGTACTTTCCTGGAAATTTGAAGTTTTCTAATTCGCACGGAGCAATAAACTAATGTATTTACGTTACAAACTCTGCTGTAAATGGTTCGTCATAGGAATCGTACAAATACTAATTGCTTCTATAATTTTATCCATTTTTCGCGTTTTTTTGTTAATTTCACAAATTATATTAACTAGTAAATGTTGTTTGGACTATATCTATCTGAGAGACTTACGAGAATATGTAAAATATCATTGATTATACAAAAGGAAGTTAAAAAACCACAATTTCAGACAAAAGTTTTTTGGGAAATTTATCGGTGTACGAATACATTCTACACCCACTGTATTTACTCTTCTAGAACTGGTGATACGGAATACAATGCTACGATCGATGCTACGGGAAGTAAAATAATAGACGAATGCCTGTTAGGAGCACCTTTGCCAGTCGAACCGAACATGTATGTTACAGAGCCAGACAGTTCACTGTCAGAATGCTCTAAAGTTTTAACAGAAAAGAAGATTGCACTTCCATCTAATGTATTTTAATAAAAAGTAGAAGAACATACGTACGGAAAATGGTTCAAAGTAAGGTATGGAAGAAACAAATAACTGTCTTAAATGTACGTATTCCACAGGAAAATCAGAAAAATCCTGTGAAAAATAATAGGTTCGAGATTTAAACTATACGTGAAAGGTTATATTAAATAAATCACCAAATATAAATTATTACAAAACACAACTCATGTCGATTTACTTGTATATACTTAGATCCATTACAAATATATTATTTCCTATTTTCACCCAACTTAACTATTACTTTACAATTGTTCACATTCACGCTGAGCATATTATTATATTTCGTGTAAATCTTACATTTATAATTTTACAGTTATTTACAAGTTCGACTTGTTACAGAACATTTAAAAATATCTTGTGAATGTGAAACGATTTCTATATTTATCTTTACATTCCCCAATGAAGCTACTGCAGATTTACTCATGTGGAATATCGTAAAAATCACTCTCAAAGAAAATTAATTAGATTAATCTCTCAATATTCTAAAGCCGTTATTTTAATGGAAATTTGTATAGCCATACATTTCTTGCAAAATCATCGTGGTGAATTTAGAATACACTAAAATAAAACGAGTATCAATATTCCATAAATCTTTGAAACCTTTTAATCGACATAAAAGAATTATTTATTACAATATATTTTAAAATATTTTGATTACTACTTACATTCAATAAATATTACACCTCGATCGATCAAAATATTATCATTTCAAGGTGAAACACGTTATTTACAATAAGCCACTGAAATATGAGTAACTTCTTAAAAATATTCTTAAAAATTAACTATTCCCCATAAATTTTTACATTATACTAAATTAATTGTACTCACACTCAAAATTGTACAAAAAATCTCATCAGTGCGCTCTCTCTCTCTCTCTCTCTCTCTCTCATTCTCGACCGCTTCCTAGTTCATCATTGCAATGGAAGTTGAAGATTAATTCATTATAAAATCTATTCTACAAATGGTACCCAACACGTAATAATAAATTATAGTTCAGTCTCTCAATCCAATGTAGCGATACGTATGTTCTTCGAAATTTTACAAGTATTAAAAATCTTACATTCGATATGTTACATTGCAAATTTCGTATGTACACAATATATTGTTAACAATAACTGAATTACAATATATTATTCAACAAAATATCGTAATATGATAGTATTTAAATTTTCATTCAGTTTTCCGTTGCACCGCGACATAATACTATGCAATAATATTATCAGTAAGTTTTAGGCTACATACAAAGAAAAGCTAAAAAAATATATGACCAACACTTTTACAAACATATTATATACATCTTTGATAACACTTCGCAGTTTCTTACCCTCAACAACTGCTTACACTACATCTCCTATCAGAGAGTATTATTTACAAAATGTTCTTTGAAGACTGGCGCAAATATAAGTAGGATTTGATCATTGACACACTTTCCTTTTTCATTTATATTACCGGCGCTCATCGTATTTAAGTATTTATTTACATTAAGCGATTGTTCGAGGTAACAATGTCATCTTCAGAGATCATATCCTGAAGAGGTATACCTGGTTTCTGTAAGAGGTGTTTAAAAATGCTTAGTAGAAGAGTCTCGGTGCTTTTTAGTATAAACAATAATAGGCACTTGCACTTACTTCGATAACAATGGTAGAGGCCATATTATCTGTGTCATGATACTGTACTCCTACGTTTGCTGCTGCTATTGCTATAGTACGAACGGTATTGGTGCTGGTCGAAGTTGAGATGTGCTGGGTAATCATGGAGTTTTCATTTGTTCTACTGGAACCATTACACTCTTATATGCGTAAAATAATGAATGAGATACTGTGCTTTCTTTATAGCTAAAATAATTGAAATAATAAGTTACATATAGAGACTTACTTCCGCTTCTTTACTTGACCAGAATGAAAACGACCACCTTCGCCACGAATTCTGTTCATTGCGTGTCGATGGCGAGACTCGTGGAGATATTTCTGCGAAAAAGATTGATTTGATAAATTTAATAAAAAAAAACACAATGCGATGTTAATTACATAATAAAAAACGAAACATAAACTTACCGGTCTTTCCTTAGGTATTTTTCCTTCAGCTTCTAATTTAGCACGGGCCTGTCGACGTTTTAATATACGTCTATATTGTTTAGCATTTACATATAAAGGTTCTTCTTCAAAAACCTCGGCATTAGGTAATGCTACTCTTTGAAATTGTGTCTGCCCACTATTACCAGGTACCATCTAAGTAACAAAAATTGGAGCATTGCATTGTTAATCATTCCACAGAAATTCTTCATTATATTATCTTTTGATTATTTCGCGTAGTATAAATTGTAAATCCAATATTTGTTCGTCTATAGGATATTGTTCACAATGAAAAAATAAATTTTGATTTTTTTATTTCTTTTTTACTTTCCTTTCTATAAAATCCTTATTTATCTCTCTTGCCTATTTTCTTATTTTGTAATAATAATCTTTTTATGCCCTTCGCAATGTTATTCACATATATTTTCAAATTTATATCATCTATGTTTTAGGATTCATATACAGTTTTTCTTGAAGAGAACTTCCAAAGAATATCAAATTTACAATTTATACAACATATCGTTAAATTTTTTAATAGAAACATCAATTTATATAAACTTCCTAAGTATATACGAAATATATTTTTAAATATTATATTATAATATTATTTAAAAATAAAAACATCAAAATAAGAATGCATCATGTTTACAGTACTGTTGCTCCATAATCACTACAAGTCAGTATAATATATTTACACAGACTATGTGAGTGAAAGAGACATTCTAATAGTACCATGACAACGTTTCCTGCCTGAGATGCTGCTGCAGTAGGACTTGCCAAAGGTTGGACCGGTGTTGTGGCTGCAGCAGTGGTTGTCGTCTGCGATGTTGTTCCAGCAATTTGCATAAGATTTCCATTGAGATTAATCACTACAAATAGCAATGAAATTGAAATATGACCTTTATAATATAATCAATCAACTATTGTACCTGTAGGTTGGGCTTGTTGAACTTGGCCCTCTAATTGAACTGGTTGATAAATGTATGTTTGTCCATCCGGAGTTTGGATGATTTGTGGTGTCTGCGGTTGTTGTATCACGATCTGTTGACCTGTACTAGTTAAACTAGACACTGGTACAACTTGTATTTGTCCATTAGGTGCAGCTACTTGTATGGCTTGTGGCAACATCATCGCTTGACCACCTTGTCCCATTTGAACAACCTGAACAGTTCCGCCGGCACTGCCAACGACAACTGCCTGCCCTTCTCCCAATTGATCCATTGCCAGTCCTCCCTATGTCTATACTATACAGAAAATATTGTGTTAGAACAAAATAATGAATTAACATCAAATGCTAGCTTCATCAATAGAAACTCTCTAACAGAGAAAGAACAACAAAATAATATACAATGCACTCTTGAGTTACATGAATTGGTATACATATTTTTGTTTCTTTGATTATTTCGTTGTAAAGAAATATACCTGTTCAACTTTAATTAACCTTTGTAACAAACATTAAATATCAAATGTAACATAAAGAGAAAGAAAGATTAGTCCTGGCAACAAGTTTAACTCTAATTTTTAACATAGGACTGATCTTTTTTTCTCTTTGTAATACATTGTACTTATATGCTACAAGTTATTTAGAAATTTATTAAATGAATTAACTGTGTAAGATAAGGACTTACTGTACATATACCTAAATTTTATAAAATATGGTAAGTGAAATAAGAAAGCTGCTGTCTTAGCCAAATGCAACATAAGCAAATACAAGTAATATTTTCTATGTCAAATCTAGAAGTTACGTTTCCAAGGGAATCATCAGTTTCATAGGATACAAATATATAGCTTGCGATCCATCGATAAAGATTACTGATGTAGACTGTACACTGGGATCTGAAAGGCCACATGTGAACTGTTAGATAGTTGACAGAAAATCAAACAGCAAACATTATCTTTCGTTAAGAATGTCTTAAGGAAAAGGAACAGGGAAGGACAAAAAATGGTAAAGAAAGGATAGAGTATGGCATACGAAATGGATATAGTCAGGAAGGGATTAGGAGATTGAGAGGGGAGAGTGATAGAGTAACTCTGGAACTAGTGAACAGGGATAGGGAAAATCAGGAACAAGTGCAATTTAACCAAATAAGAGAAGCTAAATATAACAGTAGGTATAGATATTTATTTACGGGACAGAGGCCTGAGTATCTAAGGAAAGATGGAAGACTAAACAACCAAAGTTTGATGGCAAAGGCGAGGTGCGGAAATTTAGAACCATGGAATAGATACTGGCTTGAGTGTGAGGAGAGGAGGTACGAGTTTTGTGGAAGGGGACAAGGATCTCTGAAGCACTATTTAGCAGATTGCAACAAGCGGGAAAATTTTAGAGGCCAGGTTTAATGTAAGGAATATAGATTGGATAAGGAAATTAGTAAACAGGAAGGATAAAAGTACAAACTACAATTAGTAACATATGTTCAGAGGAGAGAAGCAAAGAGAGGGTATGTAATCGCGTGGTGTGACGAATGTAATGTAGCAGGGTGGATGGATGTGTGAGTATACAGAATGTAAAACCAAGTCCCATTTCTGGGCCAAAAGGCTGAAATTAATAAACTTACTACTACTACATTATCTTTGGTTATGCAAAAATTGATTTTTAAGAAGTATGCACCTTATTCTTAATAGCATGTTCAATATCTTCTGTGGATTTCAGAGATATTAGCAGAATATGGCTCATAAAATAACTTCTTTGGCATCAATAAAGAATAGTAATATGATTAGACTGAAAAGTACTTCATTTTTTCAAAATTTTAGATATGGGGTGTATTGGTCGAACCTAGCGTATGTGTAGACGCATACAAGAACGATTGTATACGCACACATGATATCCTATATAATACTATGAATCACATACAAAAACTGTCGACATTATTCGATGGAACGCAGATAGATAAAAGCGATGCTTGGATTCGAAACGAAAAGGTTAGATTCCCAAAGGAATCGGTATGATGGAAGGCAATTCGCGCGGTTCGCGATCATCGATAAAGATCGCCAACGTGGCCAACACATCGAGGTCCGAGGGCCCACGTGCAGAACGTTAAATACGCGGGATAGAGAATCGAGGCCAGGCAGCAATCATCACCTTCTATCGCGCAGAAATCGTTTCCGAAGGATATCGTATCCTGTTCTTGGCGGCATGATTAACCTCGTGTCCCCACGATGCTTAACGTCTGTGGATAGGAAACGAAGGACGAAACGACCGTGCAGTAGACGGAACGCGACGTGCTCGATAACGAATGACGCGAATTTCGCACAAGAAACGCTCGTCTCGACAAACATGGCCGTGCTGAAAGGGTTTTTCAACGTCGTGAATGGACGGGCTCGCACTTGAAACAGTTCACGGAACGAAAACGCGGTTAATCGTACAACCGTGCGCGACCGAACGCGTACACCGCTGATGTTTGATAATTTGTGGACTTACATTGGATATTTTCGTGGGCACTTTCCCAATGATTGGTCGGCAAATTGAGGACCAATGGTCGGCGATAGAGAGTCCTCGGCTCTTGTGTATTGGTGGCACTGAACGGGGGGACCTGCCAGTACGATAGCAGCCCGATGCCAGACCGGTCGATGCCCCTCCGCTACACGACGCGCCCAACCAATCTACTGGCTTGACTTATCCCCACCATCTGCTTCCCGCGCTTTCGTCAAACTTCCCGCGTTCCTCGCAGCTTTTTTCCCGCTACTATTTAAATCGATACCCGGTACAAATTCTACAACCTGTATAAATTACGTACAAGTTATAACAAATTATACAAAATATACAAATTACGTACGATGTAGAAGCTATCTCTCGCTTAAAGATAGAATTTTAACATGGAATTAAATGAATAAAATAGTTGCCCTACCTATATGTTTATATTTCTTCAAGACGAATATTGGCAGTTGTACATTTAAAGATCGACTGATCGAACTTTAAAACGATGCTGCACACAAACCGAGGTGATAGCCGCTAATGCAAACGAAAAACTTTTACATTTCTTGGTGTATCTTTATGAACTTATTATAGGTAAATCCCAAACACTACATTATCCGAACTACTTTTAATTATATTTATAAATAGTTCTTACTTTTTCCAACACATTACGTGTGTAATTGAACGCATGATGTACTCCGCACGCAAGACATTAGCAATATGGTTTTTCCATAATTACAAAATATTTACCAATATACAAAAAATATATTATAGAATATACAAATTATAGAAATATAATATAGAATTATAATAATAAAAAGGTAATCATTTTTTTAACGGCCAGTATCTTAAATAATTTTTGATAAATAGCAACAATTTACTCATTGTAATCTTTATGTAACTTTATATATTCTCCATTTACATATTATATACATATTTAGATATAATATTATAGATATGTACGCTTGTGTGTGTATCAATTATTTTACAATTTTGGCATAAGAACAAAAATGATATAACTAAATTAGATTCACTAGTCTAAATAGTCTGCAATTAAAATATTTTTCTTGCCAATATATACCATGTTCTTTACAATACAATATATCCAATGATGTTCTGCATATTTTAATAATTAAAAAATATATATGATCTGAATGTACATACTTTTGCACATCTCAAATTTAAACTTTAAATATACTTTATAAAAAATGTAATAGAAGGTATCTTCAAAACCATAATGACACAAAATTACATTATCGCATAATACAAATTCGAAGTAAGCAGTAAGCGGTACACAATGAACAATGATAAAATTAATTATACGTCGGAACGATATTATAAGAATGGTTTCATACCTCTATTTATATAAAAATTACCAGAAAATATCCAAAATTATATCCGCATAATACCAATATTTAGATTTCACTATAGATTACTGATGTCGGTAACTGTTCAATTGTTGAAATTTCTAAACCATCCAGAATGAAATAAATAATCGATTATTGCCAAACACTAAAACTTATCAATTTAGTAATGCTCGCCGTGTACAAATATATCGTACAAAAAGTATAAATGTAAGAAGGTGAACATTATAAACAAAATTTCTAATGTACTTATGTTCTGTAAAATACAATATGCCTAAAGGTACTGACATTTTTATACAACCGTTATAACAAATTAGCTCGGTTTTACAACTCCAGTAATTTCTTGTTAATAACATAACAAATACGATTCACATAATTCTTAGTCATCATTTATTGCCTATATAACCTTTTTCATTTCATTTTTGTTTATTCACAAAATAATATACGATATTTATCAATAATGTGTAGTTTAATAAAGTGTGTATAAATGAATGAAGGATGAAAAATATATTTAAATTAACACAGTTTTAGAAAGATATAATTTAACAGATTTTGATAAACATAAAGTGTTCATAAGAACATTCATAATTACTAAATAATACAAAGTTAATAGAGTTAATTAATAGGAATATAATTATCACAAATTCTTATATGTATGAATCAAGAGTTTATATTTAGTCTTGATTTAATATAAGCAGTTTTCAGTAATGTAAATATAATAAACATTGAAATGTGCATCATAATTAAAAAGTACAGTTTAATGTAACTAACGAAAATTATTTAAACAATTTTTGATTGGTTACTGATACTGTAACGGTTTCTTAACTAACCAGTTTTGTTAACGTTTAGTGTATATTAAACACTTCATTAGAAATTGATAGAAATTTGTATATAGTAATAGTAAAAACCTGAAAACATTTTTATTAGTTTAATAAAAATTAATTTTTCAATAAACCTGTACATAAAAATCTATAGACCTATAATAGAATTACATTTTTTAAATTGTGACAAAATAGTCTTTGCGTTACTTGTTCAACATATACATTGCAAAGTGTAATAATAATAGATTAATTTTTTACAATATCATATATAAGTTACGGAAAGCATTAGCAAATTCAGTTGTTTTAATTATAATCTGTTTTCTTGGAAATACAGTAACGTTGTTATTAAGAAGTGATATTTCAACTTCGATCTATGGTACACTGTGTTGTAATTCTTAATTGATTTTCATGTTCAAGTAAGTTTAGAATATCTTATTGAAAATTGATTTTGAGAAGATGTATGTTTTTTAATGTCATGTAGTAGAAAGATTTCACTCAAACAGGATGTAAGTGTAATCCTGCAGAGGAAATACTACAAGATCACGATAAGAAAGGAACTACCAAGTCCTCTTTGTGTTCAACTTTTACATCTTCTAGTGCTCTCACAGCTTTATTGAGCATATCAATAATCTGTAAATACAATTTAAATTATCATTTAATAAACTATCAAAGATAAGTATGAAATATGAATTATAAACAATTAAAAAGGATATCTGGTAATATAAATGATTTCTATTTGTTAATCCTAAAGAACAATTAAAGTAACATTTGTTTATTCTTCTCGTTGCTTCTTTCCTTCTCCTAATTATTCTTTTTCTTGTTTTTTCCTTTTTTAAATTTCTAGAGCAAATAAATTGTATATACTTTGATTGTTCTCTAGAATTAACAAACTGAAGTCATTTATACTTAGATACATGTTTCTATAAGAATATTATTTACCAGCTCGTGATTTCCAGCAGGAATTGGTTCAGCTGCTAGTACCCTTTCTGGAGCGGGGATATCTTTGAGTAAGCAAGATGTGCTATCAGGGACTTTAACTCCTCCAGTTTCTATGCGTTTTGAATAGGCTCGTGATCTATCCATATATTCATGCTGTTCCAAATTATGCGAATCTAATGCTCCAACATCTATTACATTACTGAGAGAAGAATTTACAACAATTATTTATTTCTATCGTATTTGTCTTGTCATGCTATTGTTAAAATAGATATAAAAATGCAACAGAAACATAAAACCCAATAAAGACAAAGAAACACTCACGCTGCAGTTTCGTGTAAAATTCTATTTAACGCGCTTTGCTCGTCTGTCTTCTTGGGTGCAGAACTTGCATATTGATTAACATAATCATCACTGGAAGAAAAAAGAAGCAAAAAAGCTTTATAAAGTCTTATCTATTATTACAAGTAATAAGAAACTTGTACATGTAAAAAAGTATGACAACATACCTGTGTACTCCAGGTATATTTGTACTATTACTGACAGGGTCTACCAACAAATGTGTCCTTTCATTTACTTCCCCACTCTACATGAAAAATTTTTAAAAAACATTACTTGCGAAGGTCAAATAATTGCGAATGTAAGAAAAAGACAATATAATAAGAGTTTTTGAACTTTTATAAAACAAAACTAGCTTTAATTATTGGTTATTTTAAATTTATATTTTTCAAATAGGCGTGATCGTGATAAAAATTCATACGCTTGGAATACATATTTAATAACGTGCGATAAGCTAAAGCTTCAAAACAATAACAATTAATAGCACTTATAATAATTTTACTCAATTTTAATACCTGCGGCCCGCTGTCCTCCTTACAGAAACTGTAACAACATCCCATATTTCAATTGACTGATAAACTGTTTAACCAGTAACACGTATTGCTACAACGTATTATGTTTTATCCTCATTCCTGTAAACAATCGGATGAATCAGATGCGAACGTACCGACCTACCAACAATGCTTTTTTGGCCACTTTCCATAAATAAAATATACTACGAAGTGTGACAACGTTTTTAAACCAGATACGAAAACTCCAATCAGAAATGACAAGCACATGTGACGTTCCTGCCGGGTTTATGGGGTACTAAAACGAATAACATAACCTCAAATATTCCTAATCCCATCATCCGTGTACGAAATTTACTGTATTTTTTTGTATAATGATCATTTAAATTACTTGAATATAAAACTGTTAATTTTCTACCGTACATTACATAAAATTTATAGGCAATCATACGTGCTATGTTATTTAATACGGTAGTGTACAAAAATAGAAGTTGATTTTCTAAAATAGCTATAGAAGCTACATATATTACTCATTTGCAATTTATCCATTAATTTAACGAGTGTTAAATTATACTCCGCAGTTATTAATAATATGTACAATAATATGTAATGTATATATATATATATATATATAACTACATATATACAACATTAATATTTATCATAACCAAGAAGTACAGAAGTAGGATTGAAATTACTGTATAAAGTTATCAATTTTACTTAAATCATGTCAAATATACAGGTACGTTGTTTTCTATTTATTTAATTGTTAATGCATATTATGTAATTCATTTTACAAGGATTTTCAACATGTTATTCATTTTCAGCAATTGCCGGAGTTACAAGTCTTCAAAACAGTATTATTTCATTGCTTGATAATAATAGCCTTACCTGTTTTATCCTTCTTTACTAGCAAGATTTTTATATTTGATGGTATGGAAGTAACCAATATTATTATCTGAATATTTAATTCTTCATATTACATTTTTGTCATATCAAAACTTATATTTTATCTTAGTATTCGGTATCTATTAAATACAAAACTTATAATCAGTAAAAGAAAAATTCTAAAGAACAAAATGATTTATATACACATTTACACAAAAATTAATTGTAAATAATTTTTCCTACTATTTGAAAGTTACATCTTTCTATTTTTTATACTTTAATCCAGTGACCATTAATTACTGGCTTTCATTTACATTAATGATGTAATACTTAGAGAACTGGAATGTACCATACATAAATTACAGAAAAGATTACATCATATATTATTCCTTCCATTGATTAGCATGTTTTATACTGAAATATACATATATTTATTAAACTAATTATTTGGACATTTTAAATTGAAATAAATTTTTATACATTTTAGGTTTATTGAGACTAAGTCATGTGCCAAGCAATGTATACTCAGCTGGAGTTGCAATTATTGTATTACACGTGGCCCTGGGAGCCTTTATATACCGTGCATATTTCGATGATCAGTCGAAGACACAAACGAAGCGAGATTAACCCTTTGTTTGTGTTGCACACATGTATGTAATTAAGTACACCTTCTTGATAACACATTTATTCGCGTACACTTATCGAAAGAAGGATGTTACATTATTTTGCATTACATTTTCCTATTCACATACTTCTTTGTCAATGTTAGGTAATATTTCTTTTTTATTGAATACTGTGAAATATGTAGTTGACGCAAAAACCTGTACTGTTAATGCAATATAATTGCTAAATAAAGAAGCAAAGACATTCCCACACAAAACTTACATATTGTACAGCACAAACTTTGTAACATACATACATCTATGTAGAATAGAATCTCATCGCGTATTTTATTTTATATTCAAAGAATTTTGCGATAGGTTCTACAGTGACTCTCAATATATAATACCAGCTAGATAAATCAATATAGTGCACTTTGTGATCACAGTACTACAATGATTAGGGGCGAATTTATATTTATAACTTTAGGCTGATGATTTTTGTACTTCCTTAACGAAGCTTTGAGAATAATTTTGAATCGACGGAAAGTAATGTGAAAAACTATTTCAAATGCAATTAATACCAAACCCAACTCTAATGACACTAATTGGGGGATGTATTTAATTTTCCTTCTTTTTTTGTTTGTAGAATAAATGTAACAGATGAATTGCGATTAATATACAAGGTAACAATACCATTCATTTAATGCCGATAAGAAACAGTACCTTAAAGAATTATAAGAACTTAAAAAAACTTTTCTTAGAACGCTGATGCACTTTAAATGATGTCTATTGTATGACATGAGATATAATTAAAACAGGGAAACATTACCTTTATGAAAGGCTACGTATTATGTACAACGATATATATCTAACTATAATTTTGTTTTTAGAAATTTTATGTCATCGAAATTTGACAATATTATAAAATGTATATATAATAATTCAAATTTGTAGTCCCGTTACAGACGCCACTGTTGGTACTGTAAAGCAAATCCTGGAACAAGCTTAATAAATTTCTTTAATGAAATTATTAATTTATTTAAGTATTGTAAATGCAACAAAAGTTTGTGACAGAATATTTTGCTGTCGGCCTGGGAAAATGTTGGAATGAATGCTTATTGTATTATTAAATACATAAGATCGCCAGCGATATTAACTACTTCACATTTTAATTTAGTCATTAGTTCTAACTTAACATTTGCCCTAAATATTATAGAGCGCAAAGTATTAAATCTTTCTACTGGCAATGAAATCAGAAATCTCTTCAAAGAGCTCCACTGATCAAAATTTTGTTTTACATTTTCTCGAAAATGTATTAAAAGTTGAAGAATTTTTTTGATTAAATATTAACGAAATGATGCAAGTATATATATTTCCCAAAAAACAGAACTATATATTTCGTTATAAATGCTATTTAATATGGTACTTAATCAAATACCATACAAGTTTAATGGTTCATTGTTCATAAAAAACGAAATGAAAAATGTTCAAGTTATGAAAAAAGAAATTATTTATTCCTTTATTCTAAACCATCAAGAAATGATAATACTTTATAGAGAAATTTTAGCTTGTACTCTTAATTACGGATTCATTTTTTTAAATATTACTATTTATTTAAATGAAATAATGTTTGTCAAATTAATTGAATGTAAAGTGAACACATACATACTCCGCTTATTGTAGTCTACAAAAAATTCTTCAATTTTCAATATATTTAAATTAATGACGCTTTGTTCTTAAATATGTCAACTTATCACATCAATAACAGTAAAAGGAAGAGAAAAGAAACAAACAATTCGCATGTGCTAACGAAAACGTTTCAGGTGCTTTTGTGACATGATAAAGATGACTTATATGATGAAATAATTTTCATTATTTTAATCAAGGTAGATTTCGCAGTATTAAAACATAAAAAATGGGATGACTGTTACTCAACGTCCATTTTTTCTTGAGGTTGCTGTTGATTGGCCTGAGGGTGGCCATTACCTTGACTATTCTGTTTGGTCTTCTGATCATCAGCAGTTTTATTATCTACTGGTTTCTCTTCTTTTGAAGCTTCGACTTTAGGTTTTGGTTTATTTAGAATTGGTAATACAATATTATCAAATGCCTATGAAACAAAAACGAAAGGTATGAATGATATAATTAGTAAATAACAAAGTATAATGTAACCGACGTACCTGTTTCTCAGCACGTATTTGAGCTACAGTAACTGGTGGTTGCTGCGTACGAGGTGTACTTCCAAGAAGTGATCTTTTTTCTTCAAGCCACTGCCACTTATCTTGTACAGCTTTTTCAACCTTCTTTACGTCTTCCTCTGTTAAGTGGGAATATTTATCATCCTTTCCATTGGATGCTTTAATACCTTCTACTACCATATTAACTCCCATTAACGATCCCTTTAACTCATCCATAACGTGATTCCTGCCTTCGAATTCCATTCGTCTTTCTTTTATTGGTTCACCTTGTGACTAATTAGAAATTCAATCCAATATTGAGTTGACGGTTTACTTCGTAATAATTATAATTCAAAATGGCGCCGAGTGCAAAGGGTTAAAGTACAATAAAAATCATAATAAAAAAAGACATGATTTGGAGTTTCGAGGATAAAATATGCTTAATTAAATATTAGATAAAAGATAAGCGTGACTCACTTGAAGGCGGGTTAATCGTTCTGAATAAACTTGTCGCTGACAATCTTCTCCTTCTTCATATAACCAATTTTCAGTTTCATCTAATATACGACAAAGTGCTTCTTTGTCTGCTTCCGTAATAAATGTAGCTAATTGATCTTCTTCTGATAATTTAGCACGTAAATCATAAACATACTCTTCTAATGCGTTGCGAGCATCAACACGTTCTTTTTCTTGTCTATCTTCAGCAATCATTTTGCACTATAAAAGATACAATTTACACTGATATACAAAAATCATGTTAGAGAGTGTATGTGTATAACAATAAATATTACATACCTCTTTCTCTAACGCGGCATTCAAGTCGCGTTGGGAGAGTCCACATCCATATGATTCAACTGGTAATTCAATAGTACGAACGGGAATTTTCTTTTTACCTTTACCTTCCTCACCCTTGTCATCTTCCTAAAAAAAATATATACGTAATACAAATGAGTAATTTTGTGTTATTTTAATCAGTGTAAGCTTTTTTTTTTAAGAAAAAGTTCACTTGTGTATACTTTTTCTTATTTATGAATGGTGAGGGAAACATATATACAAGACGTTTAACTCCTTACTACATGGTTGCTTTTGTTGGCAATGTTTATTAAATAGAAAATAAATATAAAAATTTCAGATAAAGTTCTCGACAATTTATTTCTTACTGTCAATTGTGCGTGTATTTCTAATAATTTTGAATTGTAACATTTAGAAAAATGTACTCTACCATGACTGTGTTATGTAAATTTTCTTCAAGCAATGAAGAATAAAAAAGTAAAATAAAAAAATTATTATATGACATGCCATGTAGTAAGAGATCAATGTTGAAAGGCAAAGCAAATTAAATTTTGCAGTTTTAGACATCCACTTTGAATTAAGAACTTCTTTAAAATATTTGGTTGTTGTTAATATGACGACTTACAAACTATAATATATAAAAAAAAATGTAACAGTGCCACATATTGACAAAAAGAAATATTAGAGACAAAACATACGTAGGTAAATTGAAAGTCAGGTGATGCCAGAAATGAGTGGAGGAAAAAGTGGGGCATATTTTGATGCGAACAGTTTTCAATTCGTAAGTACTCCGATCTTACGAGTTTAAAGTATTTAGAAACATATATATGCTCGAAATTATCATTGTCTTGTATCACACGAATCGAAAACCGAACCGCATTGCCTGCCTTCACAATTTCGAGGTATTGATAATTGTTCCATTACTAAAAATTACTGTCTCTTTTCCTTCTGCGACCCAGTGAAAAGAATAACAGAGCAAAGACAGACAGCACGGCGTGACACAGCTGTACCTTGGACCCATATGCATTAATACACGTTATTAAAGAATCAAATTATGCATATTCTTGTATCTACGAATACATTCAAATATCAGTTTCTATCTGATTAGAATTAACTACTTTAATTTTAGTAGTTTCTCCATGTCATTATAATTAGCCGAGTTTGCAGAAGAAATCGATACAGACTTAAAAACCCTGAATATAACTAAATGGCATGCACTAAAAGAACTACGATTAATAACAAGCCTCCATAAGTGATGCACAAATTGCTTTGTACATTAACGTTTTTAACGTTTAACCACTTTACAATAATATTTAAATTTTTCAAGGAATGAGATAACAGAAATAACGTAGTTGTTCTACTATTTTATATTATCATCCCTTCACATTGCGTAATGATGTGTATAGATATATGTATAGGTGTATATATATATATATATTTTTTTTTTTCTTAAATAGAAGAGGAACAGGTATCAAATATGGAAGTTTTGCAAAATCAAATTTCAGTATGTGATTATTATAATCATGCAGGATATTTGAATTTGTCTAGGACCGCAATGATCTTGTAACAAATGACTGACGATGCTGACGTGATGAAAGAAATAAAAAATCTATATCACCTTTACGCATAAAAAGATATTCGTGTAGCCATTACGAATTACAACAATGCAACGATCTAAGGCGAAAGTCAGAAATCATTGCATATATTTCAGTTAACATATGCATATGGGTCCAAGTAATGATAGTGTGTCGCGTACCGAGCTGAACCAAGAGAGAATCCTGGAGGAGTAGGAAGGGGCACAACCCCTCGCACCTCTTCCACCATCATCAGCATCTGAGTTCCGTCGTGTTTTATCCATGCTCACCTAAACCACAACAAACTCACATAGTCATGCACCAGACACTCATGAACATATAAATTTTGTACTTTGAAAAAAAGAAATTTCTCCCAAATAGAATGAATCTAGAAACGTTGTTTAATTAATATTTCGTTGCAACTTAAGTTTTATTCAAGTGTTAGACCCTTCTTGAATGAGATTAGTTTAGTAGTGAAGCATGTGTTATTATTTAGTCGAAGAAG